ACTACAGTCCCTGGCAAAAAGTCTTTCTCCATCTGTCTTATAAGCCCCCTTTAAGTATTGAAAGGCCTCAAGAAGGTCTCCCCAGAGCCTTCTCTTCTCCAGGCTGAACAACCCCAACTCTCTCAGCCTTTCTTCACAGGAGAAGTGTTCCAGCCCTCTGATAATTTTCACAGCCCTCCTCTGGAACCACTCTACCAGATCCATGTCTTTCTTGTGCTGGGGGCCCCAGAATTGGATGCAGTACTCCAAGTGGGGTCTCATGACAGCGGAGTAGAGGGACAGAATCACCTCCCTTGACCTGCTGGCCACGTTTCTTTTGATGCAGCCCAGGATACGATTGGCCTTCTGGGCTGCAAGCACACATTGCTGGCTCATATCCAATTTTCCATCCACCCATATCCCCAAGTCATTCTCCGCAGTTCTGCTCTCAATCTGCTCTCAATCAATTCATCCTCCAGTCTGTACTGATATTGGGGATTTCCCTGACCCAGGTGCAGGACCTTGCACTTGGCCTTGTTGAAATTCATGAGATTCACATGGGCCCACTCCTCAAGCCTGTCAAGGTCCCTCTGGATGGCATCCTGTCCCTCAAGCGTATCAACTGCACCACTCATCTTGTAATCCACGAACTTGCTGAGGGTGCACTTGATCCCACTGTCTATGTCATTAATGAAGATGTTAAATAGTATTGGTCCCAGTACAGACCCTTGAGGGACACCACTTGTCACTGGTTTCCATTTCAACATTGAGCTGCTAACAGAAACTCTTTGGATGCAACCATCCAGCCAATTCCTTATGCATCCATCCACCAAACCCATATTTCTCCAATTTAGAGATAAGAATGTTGTGGGGGACCATATCAAAGGCCTTACAGAAGTCCAGGTAGATTACATCAGTTGCTCTCCCCTTGTCGACTGATGCAGTCACTCCAATGTAGAAGGCCACTGGATTTAGTCAGGCACAATTTGCCCTTGTGAAGCCATGTTGGCTGTCTCTAATCATCTTTTTCTTCCGTATGCTTCAACATAACTTCCAGGAGGATGTGTTGCATGATCTTACTGGGCACTGAGGTGAGGCTGACTGGTCAGTAGTTCCCAGGGTCCTCCTTATTACCCTTTTTAAAAATGGGTGTGATAGCAAATGTTTCCTCTCAGCAGTGGTTCTAACACAAGGCAAAATTACAGAAAGTATTCCTAGGGAAGTCCGTTTGTGTGCTTTCATCTCCATTTCTACTAACATTAGTGCACTG